AATAGTTCTCTTAACTGATAGACAGTGTCCTCTTTTGCCTCTTCTGATCAGTTTTGGCATAAATTTCAAATTTTTTGAACATAGGATAGTTACTGTTTCTGGCTTTTGGGTTCCCATTGCATGAAATACCGTTTTCCATCCTTTAACTTTCAGCCTATAAATTTCTTTTCTTTTCCTATGAATTTATGTTGGGGTTGAATGTGGCTCCTTTATACAGAATACCATAGGATTTTATTTCTTGATCCTTTCTGCTAACCTGTGTCATTTGTTTGGCAAATTGTGACCATTCACACAGATAATTATAACTAACAAATATTGACCTATTCCTGTCATTGTATTATTTTCTTGCTGCTGATTCATGTTCTTTCACTTCTACTCAATTGATGACTTTGTCATCCATCCATTCATTCTATTGGATCTTTTGGCATTGTTCGCTTCACTGTCCGTTTCTAGCATATCTTTGAGAATTTTGGGTGTGCTGGTTTGATGTCATGAATTTATTTAGGTGCTCCTATTGAAAGATAATTTTGCTGGATATATCAGTCTGGGTTTATTTTTATTGCTTTATGGAAAAAATAATAATGAATCATTTTTAATTTGAATTTTGTATGCACTTTGATGCATTTTGGGTCATTTTTAGGTCCTTTGAGTAGGAAAATTATTGTTTAGTTTATCATTGAACATTGAGGAGGGAAGTTCATCTTTTATTACTTTATAATATTAACATTTTTGAAAGATTTCCTCTCTCCTTTCCTCCCCCTTATAGATGAGTTACTTCAATAACAATTTAATTTTTTGGTTATCTTTGCCTGGGCCAGCAGTTTGGGTAATAACCTGGTTTCCAACTTGAAGATCCTAGCATGTAGATGATAAAATAATAAAACTGAAGTATATTTTAAAATTATGCATGTTTTACTATTAATCAAATTTGACCAAAGAATGCTTTGTACATTCTGAAAGAAGACTTTTGGCTTGGATTTGAAAGTGTTCTGAGAATTAAGTGTTGTCCTATTTCTATAAGGAAGTTCAGGTTTACTAAACATGCCAAACAAACTGCTGCTATACTAATTCTATGTTTATCAGCAAATGGAGAAAGTGAGCAAAAAATAAGTAAAATAAAAATAAAAATAAATCAACAAAGAAACGTTAGCACAAAACAACAATATAAATGCAATGGGCTTAACAGACAGTTATAGAACATTTCACTTAAAATCTACAAAATTTACATTTTTTTCATTAGCAAATGGAACTCTTTCCTGAACAGACCATACATAAGACCACAAAACAAATCTTAGCAAATGTAAAACATTTGAAATCATACCATGCATCCTTTCTTAGTATAATGGAATAAAACCAGATCTCAACAATAAAAAAATTTTGAAATTATGTAAATACACAAAGTACAAGCAAAAGATTTTGAATTGACAAGCTCATCAACAAAATAAAATGTAAAGTTAAAAATCTTCAAAGAAATGAAAATAGAAACAATTATACCAAACTTATAAAAAGAGCAAACATAATATTTAGAGTATATTCATTGTAGTAATCACTTATATTTTTAAAAAAGATTTCAAATAAAAAGATAATGATGCATCTCAAGGACTTAGAAAAGCAAGAAAAACCCAGCCCAGAAATTCATAGAAAGAAAATGATAGACATGTACCAGAAATAAATGAAATACAGACTAAATAAAAAATTCAAAAAGATAAGTGAAAGTAAGAGTTGCTTTTTTAAAAAAAAATGATGAAGAAAAAAAAAACTTTCTGGCAGACTAAGAAAAAGAGAGTAGACCCAAATAAATAAAAATAAAGGTGAAAAAGGAGAAAGTACAACTAAACCGTAGTAGTGCAAAGCATAATTTGGAATTATTCAGAATAAACATTTAATAACAAGTCAGAAAAATTGTATAGATGTCTGTAATCATATAACTTATCAAAATTGAACACTGAATACAGAAAAAACCTAAACTGACAAATGACAATAATGACATTGAATCAATGATAAAATGTCTCCCCCAAAAGAAAATCTCTCAGTCAGAAGGCTTCAAGGCTTAATTTAACCAGACCCTTAGGGAAAAGTAAATGTCAGTTCTTTTCTTTATTTGCAAAATTATTTTATTTTATTAGTAAATGTTTGCAGAATATAATGACCACATTCACTTCAGAGTAGGTACATGTATGCAACACAACTTAATGCTTTTTATGTCTCCTTCCCCTACCTGGGCTCTTGCCTCCCTCCATCTCTTGGTCCCCTTCTCATTTGCAAAAGGTCTCTCCCTGTTTCCTATTAACTATCTTTTATTTTGCTTTTTCATTTACTTGTACTTCGGGTTCCTCATAGAAGAGAAATCATGAAATATTTAAACTTGTGTGACTGACATTTCATTTAACATTTCCGCATGCATGCATTTTCCTATAAATGACTCAAATTTATCCTACTTTTTTGCTGAGTATTACTATATGGCACATGAATTTTCTTTATTCATTTATCTGTTAATAGACATATAGGTTGCTTCCAACATTTAGCTTTTATGAATTGTGCTGCTGTAAATGTGGCTATGTATGCATCACGGTCATATGACGTCTTTAACTCTTTTCAGAGGTCTACCTAGAAGGGGAACAGCTGGCTTGAATGGAGTTTCTATTTGTAATTTTTTTGGTGAGTCTCCATATTGACTTCCATGGTGGTTGTTTACATTCCAACCAACAGTGTAGACTGGTTCTTCTCCCCCTACAATCTCACCAGAATTTGTTAATACTTGATTGCTCAATGATTGCTCAATTCTTTCTGGAGCAAGGTGGAATCTCAGTGTTGTTTTAATTTTCATTTCTCTAATTTCCAGGGGTGTTGAGCATTTTGTCATGAATTTATTGGTCATTTGTATTTGTTCTGGGAAGTGTCTGTTCATTTCAGTTGCCCAACTTTTGATTTGGGTCTTTTATTTTGTGAGGAAGGTCTGACATTTTTATGATCTTTTTATATCCTAAGTGTACCTGGTAAAATTTTTTTTCATATTTTTTAGTTTGTCTTTTTCCTCTGTTGGTTATTTCCTTTGCTGTGAAGGTTTTCAGTTTGATATAGTCCCATTTGTTGATTCTTGATGTTATTTCTTGTGCAGTTGGGATTCTGTTTAGATAAAGGGAGGTTGAATTTGACCAGTGCAAGCTGTACACGTGTGTGGAAAGCTTATACTGAACCTCATTAACAGATACAATTAATACATGGTAATGAAAATAAACTAATATAATTATTGAAAAGTTCACAGTAGCATAATTATTGAAAAAAATCACAAACTTCAAATATGCTTAAGTTGAGAAATAAGTTGAGAAAATACAAAATAAAGTGGTCAAATAAAAATATGAGTTTAAAGATAAAACTAACTATAACTTCTGAGTTATTTTAGATCATTAACCAAGAGAGTTATGTTCAAGATTGCAAGGTAGAACTCTCACATAGTGTCAAGGAAAAAAATCTGAGATCTTTATCACATTATGATTTCTCTATGACTACCACAAAGGAGTTAACATTTTAACAACTTTGGAAGATGAAGCATAAGAACCAAACTTGTGTAAGGCATCATCACTATTTGTTGTTGATTTTTTTTAAACCATGTCCAAAAACCACTAGCTTTTTGTTATAGTTTAGATAGAAAATGTCCCCCCAAACCCTCTTGTGCTCATCATAGGCAGTGCTTCTGGGGGTGAATGTAGCTGATTTGCTGTTAGGAAGTGGGGTCACTGAGAGCATGACCTGGATGGGTACATCTCCCTTCTGGGCACCTCACTTCTCTCTCTGCTTCCTGGCTGCCATGATGTGAGCAGCTTTTTCTCTACTATGAACCTCTGTCATCCTGTTCCTGCCTTGGAGCTGCGCCCACCATGTACTATAACCATGAGCCAAAATAAATCTCTCCAGCTTTAAGTTGTCAGTGTTGGGTATCTTGTCTCAGCATTGAAGGAAAGTGACTACGACACTTGCTTCTCCTTACTGACAACTAAGCCACCATATTTTTAGATATATTGAACAATGCGCGTCAGAGTAAAACTGCTTCTATTGGTTCAAGGGTGTGCCGCAACTCTATCTCCCTCAGTTTACCTTTTTGTAGTTTCACATATTCACACACAACTTCAGTCCAAATATATTACATGGAAAATTCCAGAAATAATCAACTCATAAGATTTAAACTGAGCATCATTCAGAGTATTGTGATGAATTCTTGTGTTGTGCTGCTCCACCATACACTGGATATGAATCATTCCTTTGCCAGTGTGTCCATGCTGTATAAGCTGTCCACTTATTAGCTACTTAGGAGTCAGCTCGGTAATCAGGTGGACTGTCACAATATCAGTACTCTTTTTTTTTAACATTTTTTCAGCTTTAATTAAGTTTATTGGTACATTTTAGGGATGTAGTACAGTTACATTTATTGTTGAGATCTTCTCCCTCTACATAAAAGGTCTTGGTTCTCATTTTTTCCCCTTGTCCCTGCCCTCCCTTTACCCCCTCCTCCCCTCCCCATCTACAAACACTTTATTTCCATCTTTTCTTTATCTCACATTTTTTTCTTTTCCCTTATTACCCTTCCCCTACACATCCCACCTTCCCTATACCTTTAGCCCTTTTCTTCCCATTTCACAATGTCAGTTATCTCATTAGGATCTTATGTACTATTACAGTTTATTCACACCAGAGAAACTATTCGGTATTTACACGTGTGACTTATTTATTTCACTTAGGAGTATATCCTCAATATGTATCCAAATATCAGTACTCTTAAAATTTACCCTTCTTTTATTTAATAGTGGCCCCAATGCACTTTCAGCCAGTACATTGTTATATATATTTCTTAATTTTTTGAGACAGGTCTCATAATGTAGCTCAGGGTGACCTCAAACTTGTGGCAATCCTTCTGTCTCTGCCTCCCGAATGCTGGGATTATAGGTGTGTGCCACTGTACCCAACTGCTATTTTATCATTATTAGCTGTTCTCAATTGTGCTTAATTTATAAATTAAGTTTTATTGTAAGTGTGTGATAGAAGACAAAACATATCATAATATAGTAACGTTCAGTGCATTCCCTGGCCATCTCGGAATGTATCTTCCATGGATACAGGGGAACTACTGCACGGTACTGCCATTAAAGGTTTGTTAACTTTATTCATACATAATTACTGAATTGAAGTAAATTATGATCATTTATTTGAGTTCTAAATATTGAATTTAAGTAATCATATTTTCCAGTAGTGCTGAAGATGGGAAGCAAAAGGGCAGGCTGGTGGGAAAGTGGGAGGATAATGGACTGGAACAGGTACAGGGAAATGGGATGTCAGGCAGGAGACCCTCGGAGCTGTTCTTGTCCCCACCAAGATTATTTCAGCTTCCTGAGATACAGATAGATCCCATTCTTGGACTTCAACACAAGTCGTGGCACAGGCAGTGGGGTCCTGGTGGGGTCTGGCAGCAGCTCGAAGCGAAGCAGTGTCAGGGCCACAGCCACCTTCATCTCATTCATGGCAAATTGTTTACCAATGCAGTTCCTGGATAAGGAAGAGAGGTTGAAATGAGAAGTCACCCTAGGCCCTGTTCAGCGATGGCCAGGCTTTGGCCCCTGAGCCACAGCCCAGAGCTGGGCATTCAGGGTGCACCTTCATGAGCCCAGATCAACCCCTTTCCTCTCACTCAAACTTCTATTCCTGGCCTTGGTTCATGCTCTCTCAACATTTGTCAATTCCTCCCACTCTTCCAAGCCTCTCCCTGACCCTCCTCTGCTCTCAGAGGCCTGAAATATCCATTAGGATAGAGCCCATGGTCTAAGGGACAGAGTTCCTTCATGTGGTTAGTTCATGTCCTCACTAAGAATCTGTGGTTTCCAGGAAAGAGTGGGCCACACTCCCAAGGATCACTGTCTACGTGGACAAAGCATCTACGTTCATAAGAGCAGTCATGTGTCAGTGGAGAGGTCCTTAGGATGAGGATCCTTAAACTGCAGCTAATCTGCCTTTCACTCAAATAATCAGCATCTTGGCTCCCATTTATCCATGCTGAACACCTACATCAGTAGCCTTCTAATTTTACTTCAGAAGTGTCCCTGCCTGCCATCTTGAACTTTCTTTTCTATAATTCTCTTGTGTGCATCTCCCGCTCTTCCATGGGCCTTCCTATGCCTTCCTTCAGGCAGGACTGTGTCCAAATACCTCAGCTACATATCACCCCCTCTATGGTTTTCAAGTCACCCACTGTTTGCCTACCAACACTACATCCTTGGTCACTTTGGGGTCACTGAGTATATCCTTTCTTCACCTCTGCCTGAACATCCTCAAGACTCAGGTCAATGACCAGCTGGCCTTCACCTCTCTGCTACTGTCCCTCTCCCCACTGGGCCCCCATGGAACCATCAGTGCTTTATTCAAGGACACACCACAATCCAGGGCCTGGGACAGTGTCAGGAACCTGGAACATTCTGCATGAGCAAGTGAAACAATTAGGTAAGGAATGAGATCTATATTGATATAGGTGTCTAGTTTGTATAGCACCTTTCTATTCTTGTCATTGAAGCAGGGGAAGAATCTTGCAGCTCTGTGTTTCCCTTTCTTAGCATGGAACTTGGCACAGATAAATGTACTTTCAAATATTTTTGTATTTTTCTTGAAGTTAGTTGAACTCAAATAAAATAAAATGCAAAGCAATACATCAAAGGTAACTTTTTCGAGCTAGAAATTGAGCTACCTTGTACTTACTCTCCTGTCCTCCAACGATAGTGTCATGATTTGTATAAGAGGGAGTACTCAAACTTGGGGAAACTTATCCTAGAAAACCTATCTGGAAAAACAACATACTTAAAGCCTGTTCTGTAAAAGTTTATACAACATGGTGGAATTCACAGAATTGTCTCAGAAAAATCTTCTTTGTGCTAATCATTTACAAGTATTTTACCAATGCAGAGTCCACAAGATGAATCCTACAGCCCTCATGATTTTCACAGAGACCATTTGGCTTGTGCTGATCCATCTCCTCAATGATTTCAGGCATATTTGTTATTGGACATCCCAGTATACACTGCAATCATAACTAAGCTGTGAGTTTCCTCTCAGAGATAGTTCAGTGGCTCATTCCCATTGTCTTGTAAAAGTGAATGTGTAGTGATCTCTTGTCACATACAGTATCTTGCTGACAGAGTTAGGTGACACACACATGTAATAGCAATGTGAGGTAAGACTTGGGGTGCTAGAAGCTCAAAATGAATAAGACAACATTCACTGTTGTTGACTTCTCTATATGTAATGGGCAGTAAACTTTGTAGCATCAGTGAGACTGGTGGAATTTTAAATATATAAGAACGTTTCATTGGTTCATGATAATGACTGATGAATTAAGGAGAAAAGGTAGTGGACTGTGCTGAGAATGTGGGAAGAGATATAGTCAACCTTTAAGATGCCCGGCAGTTGGTTAAACTAACACTTGAAGGCTAGTTTACATTCGAAAATCTGTCTGAAAATTCATACTTCAGAAGTGAGGAAAACACCAAAATACAAAGAAATTTGAAACATGTACTGACATGGAGTTTTGGCTGGCTGCTGGGAAGACCAATGGATCAAAATCTCCATGGTGCGTCCTAAAATGCCACAAATTTTTTTTTTTTTTGAGGTACCAGGGATGGAACTCAGGTCCTTGCTCTTGCGAGGCAGGCCACCAAACCGCTGAGCTAAATCCCCGGCCCTGCCACATTTCTTTTGGGCACAGACTCATCCACATGATGCCTCTTACCCTCAAATGCAAACAAAGATATACCTGAAGATGCCACATAGAAAGCTACAGGGTCACAAATATCAGCTATGTGCCAAGAGGACCACCCCTCCCACACACAGACATCATCACACTCAAGATGCCATACCTTGATCCTCCCGAGAAGGGCAGGAATGAATGGCTGTGTCGGGTAGAATCCACTGCAAACCGAAAAGGGTCAAACACCTACAGAGAGAGAACCAAGGCCAGGACAGGAAGGACTCAAGCTCCTGCTACTAGACCATAGGACAGGAAGCCCAGAGGTGGGAGCAGGAAGAGCAGGAGGACAAACAAGGGGACATTCATTCTGACAAGCCACCCTCTCCACTCCTCCAGGGCCCTCATACCTCTGGGTTTGGCCACACCTTTGGATTGTGATGAAGGGTATAAATGGAAAGTGAGACAATGATACCTGTGGGCAGGTAGGAGACAGAGAGAAGATGATTACATCCACGAGGTAGGGCCATGGCCTCATCCAGTAGGGGACGTATATACACAAAAGGCCAGCGTGAGGCAAATCATCACTTTTAGCAGGATGATCTATTATGGGGAGTAAGGTTGGGCATGGCGAAGCACTTGTAACAGGTGAGGAGCAGAAAATGGTGAATCGATAAACAGGAAGAATAAAAAACTGGAGGATCACTGCTTATAACAACTCCCATTCATCAAATGCCTTCCAGGAGCCATTGAAAAAAAAATACATTAGCTCCCTCTGTATGCACAAGCATCCTTCAAGAAAGACACTGTTTTATATCATTTTTCAGATGAAATACTGACATCTCACTGAAGCTGATGATCTTCCCCATGTTCACACAGGATGACTGTGGCAGGCCTGGGATCAGACTCAATGCTGACAGAGCCATTGGGTGATTTCTCTCCATAAGGGGTCTCAGATCATCAACTGCTCTCTTCAGTTAACCCAAGGGCACTTCAGAGACTGGACCACATTTTGTCCATGACAAGAGACTCCATAATCTCCCATATTTGCTTTCATAAGTGGAAATAGCCACATCTCCTTAGCTCTTCTCTGATTCTCTCTGCTCCACACAATTCAAGGAATGGGAAGTTCAGGGTTAATGTGCTGGGGCCACTGTTTAATCTAGAGCTCCACATTGACTTGATAAGTGTTGATGAATTCAAGCTCTGGATCAAGAATTTCATAAGTCCTTTTCTAACTTCAAATTAAGGGTTCAATTTACTCATGGGGAAAGACAGACTCTGCAAGGTTCAGAAATCCTGAAGTACATTTGGACTTCCCATCTTCTCTGTACCTGTGGAAATCTTAAGTCAGTCTGGGAAGGTCATACCTTTGGGTAAGGACCGTCCATCAGGGAAGGTGACAGGTTTGCTAAGTTCTCTGCTCACACTTGGTACAGGTGGATAGATCCTCATTGCCTCCTTGATGCACATGGTCATATAGGACATTTGGTCCAGATGTTCCCTGAAATAAAGCTCATCTTGAAGGGCAGGAAGGGTCTGGAAAGCCCAATTTCTTCCCCCACAAAAACGGCTGTATTTTTGCGCCTCTTGAGCTATTACTCACCAAGTGATGGAGGCTTCATCCCCCAGGATACTCTGGACCTCCTCTCTGCACCTCTGTTGATGATCAGGGTGTGCAGCTAGAGCATAGAGGATCCAGGAGATACCACTGGCTGTGGTATCGTGACCCTCGAACATGAACGTATCCACTTCAGCACGCAGATCCTTATTAGAGAAGCTATTCCCATCCTCCATCTGGGGTCAGACATGGGTAAATGAGCAGGGCTTGTCCCTCACTCTGTGCTTCTGGGAAGATCGTTAGGCCTTTCCCACACACACTCACTTTGGCAAACAAGAGGATATCCAGGAAATCCAAGTGCCTTGTCCTCTTGATCTTCTCTAGCTCTGTCTCATTCTGCAGCTGAGACTTCCTCTGCTTGATCACTTGGTCTATTGCACAACAGAATTAACCAGGTAGAAATGAGAGCTACAGCAATCCATAGCAAACCCATATGCCTGCCCCTGTACCCTATCTGGAGGCCCTGCAGAGCTCAAGATGAGTGTGGAGGTGTGGGTCAGTATTTGGGAGTCTACAATACCACTTGATTTGGTCAGGTCTCACTGCAGCACAATACATGGAGACCCTCTTGAATGTGCCTGGGATAGGCCTCATTCAACATCACCAGTGAGAAGGCACAAGTAATCCCCTGCACATCACCTGACACACTGATGTTACACCTGTGTTGCATAAGGGAAGTACCAACACAAGTATGTCCCAGGTCCTCCAGGACCACCAGGGGCCCTGGCTCTGCCTGAGGTGTCATAGACAACTCCATTGGTCTGATAGAGGAGGGGAAACAGGAAATCATACCTGTATGCTCATGGGCAAGCTTGCAGGCTTGTTTGAACAATTGGCCATTTGAAGACAAACTGTAGATGATGTCATTCTGATGAATGATGCTTCTTATACGGTAAAAAATCAGATCCTTTAGGTCTGCAATGGCTTGGAGGTAGGAGTGAGAATTCCTAAGAAAGAAGATGCAGAACAGATTGAACTATGAAGAGGTCTGACCTGGATGTACATAGAGTGGTGATTCCCTTACTGGTGGGGACACACAACCCTGTGGCCCTTGTTATTTCTGTTTTACAGTCCTTCTGACTATCAAATCCTTAGAGCAAGGTATAAATATTCAGGATTCCAGCTAAGCTAGGAACCAAGTGTCTGGACTGGGACAGTGTTGAATCTGGGCAGGATTTAGAGCTAACCCAGGGCTGAAGTCAGAATCTTGCTTTGTGTGGAGATGAGCATTCAAGCTATCCTACCTGTCTCTGAAGTGAAAAGAAGTTGAGTCCATACAGCTAACAAAAAGAAAGAGTTTGTAGTTCAGAGGTTGTCACTGACCTGTCTGATTGGGCAGAGCTCTTGTGGCTGAAGGCACATTTCATGATGGAGTCCAGTGTCATCAAGGAAACATGTTGAAAGATCTCCAGAGGGGAGTCCTCACTGATAAGCTGCTCCCATCTGTCCTGTGGCAGGAAGGCACATTCACTTTCTTTTCCACAGAAATTATATGGTAAATAGACTAAACTTTCCCCTATATTTTCAGATATTCAGTTCTAAGTCCCTTACTTTATAAGGCAGATGATCAAGACTTCAAAAACAAACATTTGTCAAATGACATCTGTAGTTGCATAATTATGTAACTTAAACACATCATGCCAACAATTTTGAATTTTGGCAACCAGTTATATATAAAGAGGAAGAGACCTCTTCAATATTGTGAGAGCATAAAATCTGAAACAAATTTTGAATTTTGGCAACCAGTTATATATAAAGAGGAAGAGACCTCTTCAATATTGTGAGAGCTGAGCTTGACCTGAGGGATTGGTAAGACTTCAATTTTAGGAGTTGAATATGTCAAGGCAAAATTTCGACTATGGGCACTTCTAATGGGGGCCACTGGGGACTTTGATCCCTGTTTACTCATTAAAAGTTTGCTGAGAACAGTTAGGTCAGAAATCCAAGTGTTGAAACATGGTGGTATAGCAGGTTGGCTGTGAGAAGGCAGAGCTGGTGTCCATTTCATTGCATGGGTCACTCAAAATCCATGCAGAATCCCTATAGCCCAAGTAATTGAATGACACACTGTGACATCCTCAAGTCACTGAAGTTGCCATTGCCCAGGACAGCCTGGGACAAGTAGTCTTGTTGTTTGGTAGGATTTATGGCTTCTGTTTTCTATAATGGAGACCTGGAAGTGGAAGATGGGGCCTATGTCCACCACGACTCTCTGCCTTGGATAATGAGCACAATGTGTCTTACTCTTGACTCCAGGCTCCTGTCTGTCCAATCTAATTATTATTTGTTAGGGCATCTTGCAATATAGATTCAGGTGGCCCCAAACTCACTATGAATCAAGGCTTATCCTCAATTTATGATCTTCCTGCTTTAATCTCTCAAGTTATAGGATTACAAGCATGCACTGCTATGCTTTGTGGTCAAATATGATTTGAAGATTGAACTCAGCATGGCCTGAGGGTGTTATTCATATCATTATGGCTGAGGGGTGTCTGTGTTACAGAGTAGAATATGAAAGTATACCGGAGTGGAGGTGTGGAAATGTCAGACTCACCAGCATGACTTGGACAGAGTTGGCTACAACAGCCACATAGGGCTTCAAGATGTCATAGTGGAAGGCTGGGGTTAACATCCGCCGGTGCTGGAACCATGTTGGCCCATTTAACAGGAGCAATCCATAGCCTGTGCAGGAGATGGGTTTGTACATCAGTGTGTGAGCGATGAGATCAGAGGGAAAAATGGGGACAATTTGGGAGGTATAAACACTGAGGTTCTGGGGAAAGAAAAACTAGGAAGGCAGAATTTCCTGGATGAAGACAGTAAAGATTGCTAATTTTCAAGAATGTAAATCTTCCATTTGTTCTGGAGAAATGATATGATTATGCCAGCTGAGAAATAAAGGTTTTAAAGTGTTGAAGACAGAGCAAGGAAGGATTTAAGTAAATGTTAGTCTGAGAATGTGGAGAAGTAGGGAAAAATATGGAAGAAGCTGAGTCTCGGGAAGACTCATACCAGCATGAGGACATAATCAGGATTCAGTTAGAAAGGGAGAAAGAAGTCTTGATTTACAGATTGGCCACTGCAGTGGTGGCCCATCAGGGCTTGCTGTGTGTGGGTCAGAGAGTTATATCTCGGGAACCCTGACTGGGTAATGATTATGTTTAGATGTACATACCAATCCAGGGAGATACCAATTTGTAGATATCATGAGCTTTTGGATCTGAAAGATAAACAAAGGATTTATAGGAAATTGACATTGACCACATAATGCAGCCTTAAGAAGAGAGCTAAGGTTGAGGCCGTGGGCTTCCATGAGTTCGTGATGACTGTCAGTTGGCAATTTGTCCCATGTTTCCTCCCATGACCTCTCATCCTCTTCTCTCTTTGTCCTAACCGTCAGCTGGGCTCAGGAAAACCCCTTCTGAGTACCAGCAGCTGAACACCCCAGTGATAAGGATGAGCAGTTGGTGAAAAATGCAAGCCCTATATTCAGTGCCCAAGAATAAGACAGAGCCTCCTGGTGTTTCTTCAATGGGTGATAATTTTGTTCCTGAAGATGGGAGAAAATTAGAGCTTTTATACCAACATCCCTGTGAATATGAAGTTACTTTTTTATATATGGAGCAACGTACTAACAGGTCTGCTCATTTAAGGAAGGAAGAAAATAAATTCAGATAATGGAGCCATTGCAAACATTCCATACTGAGTAAATATTATTGGCCTTAAGGCTGGGCTATGCACTGGGAGAAAAGGGAGGTAGGTAGGAGATTCACATATTGACATTTGGACTGCCACTGCCTCCTGGCATTTTATGTATTCTAGGGCATGCACTTAGGTATGAAGAGATGGTACTATTGGGATGGGGTTTCACTCTTACCTGATCTCCCCAGAATCACCTTCATGTAGTCAGGATTGTAGATCAGGACAGTAAGCTTATTGCCCCTGAACCAGCGTGGACAGGCACTTGGGAATTTCTCTGCCCATTTTAACATTTGTTGCAGCTCCTGATCCTTTTGGAACTGTCATGGAAGGAAAGAAATTTGATAATGCTATTTTTTAAAGTTCATTTCTTTGGGCAAGGATGAATGCTTGAATGAAAATGGAGCTGTAGTACTGGACCTATCCACAGGGATCAGAGACTCAGACTGTTTTTGAAGCCATGGGATTTGATCCAGACTCTCAGTGCTTCTCTGGAAGTTGACCTAAGCTCAGGTTCTATCTCCTATTGTGCCATCTATATGTCTCCATAGAATCTTACTTGTAGCACATACTCAACCAGTGTTCAGGTATGAACTCTGTAGTGCACAAAACTTTTTTATAGACATATTAGAGTTATGGATAAATTTATGTTCTCCCATTATTTCATATGTTGAAATGCTAACAGTTATTGTACCATTATTATATGTGACATTATTTGGGCATACAAGTCTTTATATAAGTAATTAATATAAAAGTGAGATCGTTAGGGTGGGCTCTCATCCAGTGTAATGATGTCTTTATAAAAAGAATTTTGGACACAGTGATATAGATGGAAAGAAGACTGTGAAAGGACAGGGAGAAGAGGACCATTTACACGCCAAGGAGACAGGTATACAGCAAGTGCTCCTCTAGAGCTTACAGAAGGAGCCAGCTTTGTCAAAACATTTCTGTTACTTTACCCACACAGTATGAAAGGACAGGGAGAAGAGGACCATTTACACGCCAAGGAGACAGGTATACAGCAAGTGATCCTCTAGAGCTTACAGAAGGAGCCAGCTTTGTCAAAACATTTCTGTTACTTTACCCACACAGTCTATGTACTTTGCCCTGGCAAAATGATACAATTATGTAATGCTCAAGGCCATTCTGTGGTCGAGGACAGATTATTAGCTTATTTGTTTTACTGAAGAATGAGGAAACAATATTCAAGTATCCATGTTATTACGTTAAAACCAACTCTGCTCACCACATAGTATCATTTCCCTGTGTTCCTGCGTCTCTCTGTATTATATTTTTACTCAGTTTCCTGATCTTTAACTGCATTTTGGTAAACTCAGCTTTGATATATGTCATCTTTGTGTCACTAGATCCCTGCATACAGCATGGCTTGTGTGAATCATGCCTTTATTTATTTATTTATTTTGTTGCCAGGAATTGAACTCAGGACCCTGCACTTGCTAGGCAGGCATGGTGCCATTGAGCTAAACCCCCAGCCCAATCATGCTTTATTAAAAAAGTGAATAAGCATATGAAGGGACAATATGTGGAAAAGTACATGAGTGAGTCTTCATTAAAATCCCTATTATAAATAACAGACAAAATAGTCTGAAATCTACAAATCCTGCTCCTGTATTCTGCCATTGGTTTAGTATAATTGCTGTGGCTTTCTTATCTCTAGATTAGCCAATAATAGAGGTAATAAATGAATAGAAGTATCAGTATAAGACATAGAAATATATGGTGAAATTGCTATTATTCTCTAGAAGTTGAGATGCGATTCAGCACCACAAGTAATGTTTATGTAGAGAAGTTGCTACTATAAATAATCTAGGCCACTCAAGAGCATCATTGGACTTGTGACAGTTAATGAAACAAAAGTCCCAATATCTTAAAAATCAACAAATAATCTGGAAGTCATTAATATTAATATTTGTATGATCAAACATTAGCTATCATAGTTTAGATATTTATCTCTAGCAAATTATAATAATTTCCATATTTCATTCCCTTTGCTGACAATCATTTTATCTCATTGTAGAAAAGAGTGTTATGGATTTTTCCGCTTTCCCCTCAGGACTGACCAGCACAGGGAATCAGCACTATCAGGTTCCTCCTACTTCACTGTTGAGCCCACATATCTGCACCAGGCTCCCTTCTGGTATGGAAAGAACAAGAGTGTGCTGAACTCAAAACGCTCACAGTTTTGTGTTTATAGGAACATCAAGTAAATAGTTCCTGTTTAATCAAGCAGCCCAAATATGTATCCCTTTCACCTGCACGACATAATGCAGCCTATACCTCATGTGTCTACCACTGTGAGCATAACACCTTCTTAAAATCGTCCATTCTGGAAAATTCCTTTCTCTTAGGCAACTGTAGTGAGTGATCTTTTCAACTAACATCTTCTGTCCACCCCAGCAAATACCTTCTGAAAATTTTCTGTGATCTGATTCTTTCTGAGATTAGTGTCTACTGTTATCCACATCTAGAAACTCACAGGGCAGAAATACTAACAAACTGATGTCTCTATTTCTAGGCCAGATCAGGGCCAGGTGAAACGAATGAATTGAGTGATAGGTGCAGGGAAGCATCTAGAAGCATTTTTTTTGTACCAGGGATTGAACTCAGGACCTTGCACTTGCAAGGACCAGTGAGCTAAATCCCCAGCCATACCTAGAAGTTTTGTTTTTTGAGAACAGCTGAGGCTGCTGAAGATGCTCAGCCTGTAGAAAAGGAAACTGAAGTAGAACTATCCAGAGTCCTCTAAGTACAAGGCTGACACAATATACAACAGATCTGCATAAGAAAGGAGTATATGACACAGCTGAGTAATAGCAAGGTAGGATTCTTGTGAAGGAGTGAGCTCTTCATTATTTTAATGATCCCAGCCTGAGAGCGATGTGGGGTGATCCTCAGAAGACATTTGATCATTACGTAAGAGACTTTGTTCTGTAGGACTAGGGATGTAGCTCAGCAATAAAGTACTTGCATAGCATGTGAAGCACTGAATTTGGAGGTTTTTGTCCGTGTATTTGCTTACCGGTGTCTTAGAGTTCTATCCTTCCCTCTCTTCCTACTACCTTGTCCATCTTCCTACCTCCTGTTTGTGCCCGAAGAGCCAGTGGGAGGGTGGACACGGGAACTGCTGGACAGCTTTGAGCAGCCATTGTCTGTGCAGGTAGAGCTGGGCTGCCTTGAACAGTAGCAGAAGCAGGGCGAGCAGGGAGGCCACTTGGAGGAGCCCAGAAATGCTTCCTGGGAATCTGGTGGGGTTGAATGCAGAGATGCCCATGGTGCAGTGGCTTCTGGATCACTAATTTGCCCTCACTGTGGCTGCACTCCCCAGTGTCTCCTGCCCACATTGTAACAGCATTGCCCTGCCTACCAGTGGGAGGGAGAAAAAAGAGGGTAAACTTTGACTTGATTGACCCAAATGATCTACCTGGAGGGGGAGGAAGAGAGGAAGGAAAAACAAGGAGAGGTGGAGGGGAGGTAATCTGGCAATAAAAAATTAATTATTAAGGACAGGAAGGGTGCCATGGAAATGAAGAGTGTGGAGAAGGAGCGAGGGCACGAAAAGTGTGAATACACATGATCAATGCATATATGAACACATCACAGTGAACCCTATTAAATGTGTACTTAAAAAAGAAATTGAGAAGTATTTAAAAGTTGTATTTGTTGAATCATTTGAAGATACCAATAAAAATATCTTACTAGACTTCTGGGAAGATGGAGTGTTGAGCAGTGGCAAATTAGCCTCTCTGAGATTTGGAGTCCAGATGCTGGAATATAGCAATGTGGGGAAGAGAAGGAGCGAAGTAGATTCCTGGAACCCAGCAAGGGTCTGAAATGAGAATTGGAACCCAAGGGGAGAATGAAGAGGGACCTCAACTCAGAAGAGGGAGTTGGCAAAGGGTGCTTCATTCCTGAATTTCAACTTACAGTGTAAGAGAGGTAGTTGGAACTTATGGAGGCCCAGTGACCACGGGAGACTCCAGAGGCTTCCATGGAGAAAAACCCTAGCGGAATGGAGCAATGGATGGCACAGGTTTGTGATGGCTACTGAATGATCCCAATTCAAACATCCTCAAGAGAGGGCAATTGGCCAGGAGCCATTTTGGAAAGAGGCTAACTGAACTCTGGACTCATGGTAGCCATGGCTTGGCTCAATCTTGGGTCTCTCAGGGTGAACCATATCCATAGTAGACTTCAAGGGTCAGGGACCAGAATTCAAGCTGGTAAGAGGCACCTGAACAGTTGTGTGGTGTACAACTTGGGTCCCAACCTCACAGACAGAAATTAGGATCAGCCTGAACTTCAGTAGAGTTGAAAAAGCAAGCTTGCTGGCATTATCTACCACATCACCGTCATTTTATTGTAGGCTTGCTGGGATCAACCAACACAGATCTGCACTCTCTGTTATCTTTTTTATCTCTGACTACAGAGATACACCTTGAGAGGCACATTTTTTTTCCTTTCTTTGATTTTCCCCCCCTCCTTTTTCTTGATTGTTTGGTCTTGTTTCTCTCTCTCTCTCTCTCTCTCTCTCTCTCTCTCTCTCTCTCTTGGCTTTGTCTCTTTCTTTTCTTTATTGGTACATTTTAGATACACAATAGTTACATTCATCATTGGGATCTTGAACCTTTACATGCCTTATCTTGGTTCTTATTTTTTCCCCATTCCCTGGCCTCCCTTCATGCTCTCCACACTTCCCTATTTACAAAGACTTTGTTTCCATTTCTTTCCTTTTGTCATTATTTTTCTTCTCCCTTTCCCCCACACATTTAGACTTTTTTCCTATTATACAATACCAATTATACATTTTGACCCTATTATGCTTTTAGTTTATTATACCAGAGAAACTATTCGGCATTTACACATCATATTAACTCAAGAGTATGGCCTCAGTGTTCATCTACTTTGCTATAAATGTTTCTGGCTTCTCATTCTGTATGGCTCAGTAGTACTCCATTTTATAATAGAACCACATCTTCTTTATCCAATCTCCAACTGATAGGCAATTGGGCTGCTTCCAAGCTTTAACTATTACAAACTGTGCTTCTATAAACATGGGTGAGCATGTATCACTGTGATGAATGTTTTGTCTCTTACGAGCTTTCCTTGCATCAGCATCATATCCCTAGCACCCACTCGTAGCCTTTTCACCATGTTTGGTCTTGTTTTTATGAGTGTAAACATTGTTCTTATGGTTTTTGTTTTGTTTTATTCTGTTTTTGTTTTGTTTGTTCCTTCTTTCTTTCTCTCCTGTTTTCCTCACCATTTTCACAAAGCTTGTATAACCTTCCTTTGACCTTCAGCCTTATTTCTAATCTCTTTCTCTTCTTCTATTAATTTTTTCCTCTTACCCTTTTAAAATTTTCTCTCCTGAGAGTAGAATTGCTCTGTTGAGAGGTTATATACTGGATATAATTTCTTTGGTTCTTTTCATATTTTGTTATATAACTACAGACCTTGTTCCTAATGTTAAAGGTGGCAAATTAATAAGTACCACAGTTTATCACTTTCTAGGCTGCACATGATGCTATTGTTATTGCAGATTGTATTACTTTAGCCAAAGTGACATGACTCTTCTGATCAGTTGTTCCTCCTTGTATGTCAAGACCAAGATTGCCTAAGGATTGTAAACATTACTGTAGAACCAAGGGTTAGGCCAAATAGGCAGCAACTTCTTATCCTCAATGAATTTATCAGTAGGATTTTGCAATAGTCTCAAAAGCCAAAAGCCAGCTACATGTAGAAGACATGTTAGAAAAGCAGTCATTTCCTAAGGAGCTCTTGATACTAGCAACAAGGTTGTCTTCCGTAAGCAATTCACAAGCATCAATGCGGAAACTAAGCTAGAAAAAATAGAAAATGAGAAGACACAGAAGTAAGATGCAATCCCAGACTTTCAGCTTGCCAAGGGCAAAGCTAGAGGGCAGTGTGGTGGAATAATTTGGAAGCCACTCACCTGAAATATTTGAAATGATAAGAGTGGGAGTTACAAAGCAGATGAATGAGAATCTAGAAAAAAATAAAATTAGAAATAATTTCTCAGATAAATGAAGAGATGATGACCACAAAGAAGGACATGGTTAGTGAATCTAGAAATACAGATTTTAAAATACAGGAGCTTAGGAAAATGATAGAAACCATAAATGTACAACATAGGAAAGAAATGGAATCTATGAAACAGATTAAAAAATATATCCAGGAGATTAAAAATTCTCTTGAAAATATATGCAGCAAAATTAACAGAATAATAGATCTAGAAGACAGGATTGTGGTTAGCTATCATGAAAGGAAAAATTTCTTAGAAATACCAAGGGACCATGAAAAATCAGTCTGACAGCTGTTAGACGATGCAAAACAGAATAATTTAAGACAGATCAGGGCCAGGGATTTAGCTCAGTGGTTTCAGCATCTGCCTTGCAAACACAAGGACCCGAGTTTGATCCTCAGTATATATATAAAAAAAATTTTCTAAGATTGATCAGAGTCATTTTAAAGCAAGAGATAGCACAAATGACATAAAAAGCCTGTTCACAGAAGTAATGATACTTTGACAAGAATAATTAAAGAAATTCATGACCACCACACCAGTTCTCCAAAATGTTCCAAAACATATTCTATAAAGAGATGATGAATCCAAATGAATCCTGTGAACCCAAATAGAATGAGTCCTTCAGACCAAGTAATCAATTAAACAGAGGCAAAAGAAAGGGAACCAACAACAGAAACATTATATCAGTTATAAGCATCAATGTAAATGGTCTCAATTCACCAATCGAAACAAACAGATTAACAGAATGGAACAAGAAACAAGATCCAATAGTATCCTGCATACAAAAAACACATTTAACTCAAAAGAAATTTATAGATTGAAAGTTAAAGGATGGAAAACATTACCGCATGTGACAGGAACCCAGAATAAAGCAGGGGTATTCTATTTGGAGACAAAGTGGATATCAACCCAAAACTAATCAAGAAAGACAAAGAAGGTCACTACATACTTGTGAATGGAACAATTAAAGAGAAAGAGATAACAATCACACACACACACACATATTACAAGCACACTCAACTATAGAAAACAAATATAATGGACATGAAAAATCAAGGAAGCACTAGTATAACTGTAATGGGGGAACTCAATAATCCAGTAATGCAAATAGGTCAACTAGACAAAAAACCAACAAAGATACATCAGCACTGAACAAAACTTGTGAACAAATGGTCTTGGTATATATCTACAGAGTGTTCTACCCCACAACACCGGAGTACATTCTTCTCAGCTACACATGGGACTTTCTCTAAAATAGATCACAAATTGGTTTATCGAACATGCTTAAGTAAATGCAAAGGAAGTGAAATTATCCCATACATATTGCATTCTACTAATTATTTATGAGTTTTATGGCAATTTGTTTCCTACTGGATGAGCCCTACAGCTGTTGTGATTTTAACAGTGGTCCTTTTGGAGTATTCTTGTCCAGGTCAACATCAGCTCATGTGTGTTTATTATTGTATACACTGCAGTGCACTCTGCATCACAGTGAAATAGTGGGCTTTGTGTCAGAAGCAGTGGAAAACTCTTCACATACTGAATTTTGCCAACTGAGAAAATAGAAGCAGATATGTGAACATTAATATACAATGTGAGTTTTGTTGGGCCAGGAGCTAAAAATGTATCAGATTAAGCTCATGAGTGTTCAAATTTCTGCAATGTACTGTGAACATTTAGAAATATAGCTTCTTCCACAGTAGGACCAGCAAAACATCTGCATTTCTAAATACACGAAAATATTTTAATAATTCATCTCAGTGGCTGTAAAGCAAATTAAGAAGTAAAGATAGTACACTGAGAATTTACAAAGAGAATCACATCCTTTAAGTATCTGACAGTTGAGAAAACCAGACACCTTAAGGGAACTTTACATGAAGAAAAATCCAATTCTGAAAATTCATACTCCAAAAGTAAGGCAAACAACAAAATACACTGAAATGATCCTGACAGGGAATTTTGCTTGGCCTTCAGGAAGTGCTGTGGGTCAGTGTCATCACAGCATACTCTAAAATGCTAACTTTCTTTGGCTAATGTAGACACACTCACATAGGATCTCCTGAACACACCAACAACATGGGAATGCCCCAATATGCTGCAGAAGAATGTAGGGAAATGCAAATGTGGGGATGTGCCAAAGACTCTGTTTTCCCCTCTCTCCATTACCAGGAGATCCTGATCCTTGGATACTTGATCTTGCCCAGAAGGGCAGGAATAAGTGATTGTTCTGACCCTTCAAAACTGAGAAGGGTCAAACACAGAAATGAGAAAGAACAATAGGACCAGGGTACACA